AAGGAACTTGTACATAGACATTTGCACCTAACATTTGCAATTCTATATTGGCTAGTGCACATTATCTATCACTGTGAGCATCTTCATTAATTTGATAAATATTTAACAAGTAGCTACCAAGTGAGCCAAATAAAATTCCTTATTTGGAGCTTAAAGTTTAATCAAAGTTTCATCCCTTAGGGTGAGGCCTGTGAGTCTCAGTCATCTCAGGACCTGCACAGTGCCCGGAAAATTGTCTGATGTGTTTGCCACACAAAATCTTTGATGTAGGAAAGAAGGAATTAATGAATGAAAGCAGTAGACTGGCATAACAATCCCTGAAACTAACATAATTGAAGAAAGGGGTCAACCAGGAGCCAGCCTGGACTAGTCTTGCACTACATAGGACACGTCCGCTCAATTCCTGGGTTTTGATAGCCTTTTGCCCACTTCTCATTATCCCTTTGGTCTGTGCCCAGTCTGCTTGATCCCTTGCAAGAGCCCAAGGTGGAAGAAGTGTTTGTTCCTTTGTTGTGGATGGAACACAGAGGAAGGGCCCTCACTTGGACTCTCCAGGCGAAGGAAATGGTCCCTGGTGTCTCAGTTGAATCCTTAAATGCATTTTCACAAAGTCCTATTGCTAGGAATAGAAATTAGGCCTTATAATGCTAATACCATTGTACTTATGACAGATTTTTGGTCAAATAAACTTTTTGAGGGTGGACTTAGAGATCTAAATAACCTTAGTATTAGTAAGTGCCATCAAGTTGATTTCTACTCATAGTGACCCTGTATGGGGCCTCCAAGCTACTGGCCTTTTGGTCCGAACTGCTGACCTTTTTGTCCAAAGTCCAGTGCCGATCCCACAGCACCATACCAGGAGTTCAAATAACCTTATACGTGTATAATAATGTTTAAGAAAATACTCTTCTGATTTCTATTTCTGGTATGTAGACTTCCAAGGCTAAAAATAAACTGCCTGTGTTTCGTGTTCCTTATGAATATACTTGACCTAGAGAAAACCCTTGCAGCAAGGGCTGATTTCTTTGGATCCACCTCTGGGAACTGCACACAGGCCAGTACTTAACACTACAAAGAGTCTTGCTCATCAGTGTGTGTTGAATAAGAAGTTAGGACTGAATTTGGATGTTTCAGTTGATCTTGCCCAGAGCAGTTTGGAACAGTGTTGGACGTGAATGCAAATGACCAGTACAGTCATGCTGCCTTATGCACAACGTTTCTGTATCATTAACTCAAGACCTGCCCTGCAGAGGAAGCATGCCAGTCTGTGGGACTCCAATTTGCTCAGGAGTGTGATCTCCCAGATCTGTTCATGGTTATGGTCCACATCGCAGCTTTTCTGTCTAGCATCACAGGCGATGGAGTGGCACCTGCTTACCTAGAACTGAATGAGGAACTTCTGCATTTGACTTAAGGCCCTTGGAGAGCTATCTTGAGCACTTAACATGTCTACTTCTGTTTTTAGCACACTACTAATGAAGTTGGGAGAAAAATAATATAATTGTTGAACATTTCATCTTAACTGATTTCTCTTCTGGCTTTATTTTTAATTCACTTACTTCATTTTTTTCACACTTCACCACAGAATTTGATTGGTACATTCAACTCTCAACTTCTTTTTTAAATTGATTTTGACATTCTTCAAGTTGTTTTGGTTTTCAGCATATAATCTCCATCTTCATTTTGCTCAGTTTCTGTTGTAAGAACTGCATACACTTGTCCAGACTGAAGTCCCATTGGTAAGCAGGCTGCCTCTGTCTGAGGAAATTCAACTGTTCTTCACTTCAGCCAATCTCATTTTCCCTGTGCTTCAGTTTCACAGTTTTGAATCGTATCTTCCTTATCTCTTGGGTTTTTTGGAAATGTATCCAGATGAGCAGGAGAGATCTTTTCCACCAGAGTGCTCTATGTACAGTGCGCCAGTGTGCTTAATCCCCAAAACCCCATGTCGTTGTTGCCTTGAGTGAGGAGACACCAAACCCTAATGCTAACCTGAGCCCTTGTCAGAACAAGGCTCAGTCCAATTACAGTGTTTGAGGCAATGTGATTGACCACTACATTTTGCAACAGCTCATCCATAACCAATCAGCTGTGGTTACCAGGCATCCTTAAAGAATGGTATATTGCTTCCTGTCCTTTACAGGCAATCATATCTACCCAGGGTTAACACTTGTATGAATGGTTCTTTTTTTTACAAAAACTGGTCTGAGAAAGTTGAAGATGAAGTTTACACATCTACCATTATCATCCTCATCTTACTATCACCTGGTTTATCTCTAGTAAATGATGGAAGGAGCAGACAAGATTTCTAGGAACATACATTAAATAAGTCTGGGCAGGTCTGTTAAGGATATATTGATATGAAATAATAATAAATGAATTTAAAAATCATTTAATTTTAT